AGTACTATCTAGAAGTCCGTTCCTAGAAAAGAGTTTCATTAAGCGTCTAAGAGCCGTATTAGGCCATACTAAACTAATTGATACATATGACACCGTTACACCTGCGCATTCATAAGCCTCCCAAGGGTTATCGAATTTGTTTAGAAATGCAGTAGGTATAAACGCCTTATAGAAGTACGCTACCGGTGCCCTTGTTCCTGGTAGTGCAATAACATATACTCTCTCGCCTTTTCGTCGATCTTGCCCGATTTTTCGTTGGCTTTGCGCTAGTGCGATTAAAATACCCATGATATATGGATCTTCCTGTTCCATCGCCGGCCGAAGACGGTCTAACTTCTTTTTTATTTGCCAACCGACTGGGTTGTTCTTCTTAATCATCAGTTGCAAATCCCGCAGATTTTGAACTCCCATATGCCTTCGTCGAACAGTCCGTATCGTTTCCAAGTTGATATATGCCAACGTCCTAACCCCAGATTTCACTGTGAAAATGCCGTTCGTTCTCTGTCGATCCGCGTCTTTTCCACCGTAGGATAGTTGTACATTATTGCTCCTGTTACGACACAGAGGATTAGGGTTGCATTCTCTCAGTAAAATATAGGCTAGGGTTCGGGTTTAAATGCAACCTAGATTCCATTCGGGTTGAGGGTTACTAACAATGTTTTGACTAGTTTGCAGTGGTCCATGATTTTGACTATGGCGCTCTGTTGCTCTCTCTGGTCGCCCGCTTGCAGGTCCCCAATCGCCTGCAACATGGAGGCGCTATGTGGAAGGCTAACATTTGCATGTTTCTGAACGCCAGCTTCTAGACGTGGTGATATTTTTTTGACATCATCTGTCTCGCCTTTTGCCGTCGTTTTCTGTCCTCTAACTGCGAAGTCCGCGAAATGGATGTCCAGGATTCGTAAGTGTAGGTCCGTCCTCCAGGCACTCGTTCGCACGTACAACCGCTCTCCGTTTAACTGTCGCAACGCAGCGCACAACGAACCAGGCGCGGGTTGACCAATCGACCCATATGATGATGTCAATGTCGATGCATTGACTCCACGCTCCGTTCCAGCGGAGCAGCATGACGCGCTGTCCAGACAAGGTCGCTTGTGTCGAGGATCATCATCCAGATTGGCACACGCCTTGCGCTTCGAACCCGCGCTCCAAAATCCATCATCTCCCGCAAAGTTACCAGAGATCTCTTTTAAAACCCGCATCGGTCGCGGAAACAGGCGTTAATGAATCGCGTAGATGGATAATGTCGGCCGCAATCCGAGTTTGTTATGTTGATTGGAGGAGAGAATGTTAACACGTCCAGGTTCGATCCAAAGTCACAAAACATGGTAAGTTACACAATAGCTGACGTAATCGCAACTTGCGCCCCAAACGGCTGGTGCCTGAACGCTACCCCGCGTCTGATTCAATCCGCTTGAAGAACAAGAGCTTCGTGAACATGTCCCCGAGATCTTTGCATAACTCACCGAACTCTACAGCACACATGCATCGCGCCAATGTCACTAAAAACATACTCTGCTCAAACACCTGCGGATTTGAAAGAGCTCTCTTCTCGGCACGATGGTTTAACTGTTATTTTACAGCTAACCTCCAAACAATTGATGAGCTCTGCTAGCAATTGGACACGCCTCCACCTCCTCGTCTATAGACTAATAACCGGGTCAGAAACATCATTCTTGGAACCTTTTGAGGGTGACCACAACGATGCCTGTCCCATCTGCCAGCTCTCAAAAGAGTTGCCCACGCAACAAATTGATCTTCTCATGCTTCGAAGTCTCCTAGAGGACATCACACCTTCAGAGTTGCTGCAACCCGAAAGCAAATTATTGCAGAGCCCTTGGGGTTATCTTAAGGTTGCGCTCGCCCAAGCGTCTCATACAAGTGTGACTGATGCACCCAAGCCCCGCGAGGAACGCAAAAAGCCCCCAGTGGAGAAGTACGGCAGTTATACCAATTCCTGGACTGCTATCTTAGGCTCTTCCTCACCTTTAGGCCCATCATCCTCTGAATATGAGATGGAATTTGAGGACGTTGATGAAGACGAGAACGAAGCTCGTCAGAGCATACCAGAGGATATATCCGTTCATCTGGCAATTGCGATTATTCGCTGTGTGTTGCTCTGTCTAAAACAACCTGGTGAGCAAGAGGAAGTTCGCGCACGCGTAGAGCGAATAAAAGTCCAAGCCACAATTGCGGGATTTGACGGCATTATGTTCGAAGATGATGCCGGTATGTCTTTTTACTGCAGGCAAAACTACGGTTGGAAACTAGTGCATCCATTTATAACCATGGTTGAGGCGAAACGAGCATTCAAGTACATTCGTAAAGACACGCAGTCAGGTAGAAGCAGCCCCATGGTTCCAGACAACGTCTTAGCTCAGTATCTTGCTCAAGCCGTACTGGCATGGCAAGCAAATCCCAGCTTGCTTCATAAAGGGTTTGGTGCCACCGCCTTAGAACTGCTTTGGGTTACACATTCACTGCTAACAAGCTACAGCGTTTTTCTTATGGCCGTCGTCAACACCTTTGTACAATTCATCTACTTCACTTTTGGCTCTGACTATCGCGAATACATCGAAGCCACCACCGCTGAGGAGCAACTGCGTGTTGTGAATGATCCAGAGAAGGACACCTTTGTTTACATGGCCCGCACAAAATGGTACGACTTACGGATGAGCGAAGGGAGACGGTTAACAGCGTGCACTCTGCTGACACGATTACGACAAATTTTGCCAAAATTGCAAGCAACTCGAGAGGGTGCTATGCCGTCACCAAGGACACACACTCTGGAATCGGACAGTGACGATCTCATGTATTCGGATAATGACTTTAATGATGGTAATGATAGCAGTGAATAACGAACTAAGTGGATCTGAACATATACAATCTTTGTCTTTGCGTTTAAGCTATGATCACAAACCCACCGCAACAGCCTCAGCCTCGATATCACACATAATCTCATCCAGCTTGTGTTTCAAAGTCGTCAATGCTAGCGTATATCTACACGAGGATTAGTCTTCGCCCTTCCATTCTAGATAAAAGTCAATCCGCAGATCCAACACGATGTCGTCTTGAATATCTTTCCAATTCCCGCACTCCGTGACTGCAAATGAGAAATCCTCATCGAACAACCACCATTCATAAAGGCATGTATCTATGCCAAGGTTCATTTCGTTGAGAAAAGATGGCTCAAGCCAGTCGTATCCACCGTCCAGATATCTAAGCCTCGCTGGTCGGGATGTATCAAGCCCCTTCAGGCGCGTTAAATCTTCACAGACGTCCAGCACTAGTCGCTCTGCGAGGTCTTGGCCCAGTACTTTGCTGAAGCTGTACTCGCATGGCGAGCGTATCGACGCCGGTTATCAAGGGTTTAGCCCTAGCCCACTACTATACAGCTTGCCGAACTTCCCAAAGCGCTAACAAGCTCACTTTATGGTCTTCGTCGTCATTCAGAGCAATGTTTTCATGCGCATTCCCGCTTCGGCTCTAAATACCACGATGATCTCGATGGAGTCACTACCGAAGAACAAAAGGCATTCATTAACGAATTTCCTGACGAGACCTGCGTCCACCTACATTGCACAAAACGGTACAGCTTAGAGGGAGGCAAAGGAAGAAGGCGTGGAATGTGCCAGTACTTTCAGCTCCTGGATGGGTATTCCACCCAGGAACCCATCCGCTCGGCAAACCGTGTCCGGACGGTAGACAGTGATGATAGTGACGAAGCCATGTAACTGAACGGTTTTGACGCTTCAAATATAATGTGGGTCTGCGTTTCTGTTTCGTGTTTTAGAGCACTGGTGCCGCAGCTGCCGCAAAGCTGGAGTAGTGAGGTGTTTGAGCCACATAGCTCTCCTCTACAACTCTATCGACCAATTTATCAAACCAGGCAGATGCTTAAACTACGAAACTTCAAGGAGATGTTTAGTACGGGCGTCAGACACTGGAAATTTCTCCGCATATTGGGTTTTATCAGCACACTCCTTGACCAGCCAACCAGTCACTGGCCCGATGAATGCAGTCATTGGTGACCAGCCAACCAGTCACTGGCCCGATGAATGCAGTCATTGGTGACCAGCCAACCAGTCACTGGCCCGATGAATGCAGTCATTGGTGAGCCATCAAACACGCAGGCAGTTTCTTTGTCAAATCCAGATCTCTGCATAGCGCGATTATCGCCTGCTCGCGGACATATACTCCGATAAAAACAGTAACATGCTGAACTTATAACTCAAAGAAATGTATAACAAGTTTGTTGTCTCATGAGAGCATTAAAATTGAAACCGCCACCCCCATATTTCTCTGATCCGCACATCCACATCCAAATGCTTACGAATAGCATCTGTCGAGAAGGACGCCATGTTACCACCATCAATCATTGCAGTTTGCTACCACTTGAAGTTTGGTAACCTCGTTACCACGCCTTGTATCAATGGTCAACGCTTGGGGAGAGGGAACAATTTCCGTAAGGAATACGTTTTGCACTGGCAGGATCCGCTTTTTGCGCAACGTCTGTTATTATGTGTTGGTTTCAGTGTTCAGTTGATTCAGTGGCTAGTAGATATTTGCGGATACTTTTATTACCATATACAGATTAAAGATGTGGGCTGTTCGGATTAGTCGTAACATGATAAGATACCTCGTTCTGACTTTGAAGGCACACATACAGTGACATACTTTTGTTTATAGTAACTGTGCAGGGAGTCAGGGACAGGGGACCAGATCCTACATGTAGGCTTTTAGGCGGCCGAGGCTGATAGGCAAGTAGGTCAGTGGAACACCCAGTCTGGACTCTGGACACATGCACCAGACTAGATGAATCATAAGAGCCACCACATACAGACCAAACACATCACTGGCATGGATTTCGGGACCTGGTCTGCCCTGATCACACTCCAAGGAACCAGAAATGTCCCCCTCCGGACTCCCGACAAACTTCTTTTTCCTCCTCCAAATCCAAGGCTTCCTTTCTCCATCATTTCTCAAACCGCCTTCCCATCATGGCGGACAATAGCCCCCAGCCTCCCTGCGAGGCGTCCCTGGCTCAAAGACTGCGTTCACGAAAGTTCATCGGCCAAGAAGCCGTCGACGCCATCCATGGGCGAAAGCTTCCTTTCCATCTGGGAAGACCCTTGGTGCAATATTGCATTGTTCGCGGTATTCGACATCACCTCGACTTTGCCCAGGGTGAGGCCAATACATTAAAGGGACTTTTGCCCATCTTCACAAAAGCCATCAACGCCAGACTCATCATGAGCAACCAAGTACCTGATATGCAGACGTCAGAAGACATGCCATACTGCATTTGGCACCCAGATGTACCCTCGGAGGATACTCTGCGCAAGCTTGCCGAGCGATATCCCGATTTTCAGTACCAGGTGGGAAGGGCGTGTGCCATTGCTGGCTATGCAGACCTCTACAAGTCTTTGCAGATTCTTCCCGAAGCGGCCATTGCGGAGGAGGCACGAGAATCTGGCAACCTGGAAATACATGAGTCAATAGTCAAAGAGGTCGTCAAATGGAAAGTATTCGACGACTATACCGGCACAATACTGGTGCCCACTCCATCTCGTCTCAATGCGGACACGGTAGTTTACAAGAGACTACACGCTTTCAGACAGGGCTTTAGAACGCCAGTGGGAAGAATTGAAGGCGAAGAGGGCGATCCCGAGCCTGATGATGAGCCCGACTCGGATGACGAACCCTAACCCTAACCCTAACCCTAACCCTAACCCTAACCCTGAGGTTAACGTTAAGTCTGCCATGAGCACCATCGCTGCCGGCGGGCCGAAGTGGAGAATCGTGTCAGCCGAGATCCGGTAGCCCGGGTACGCCTTATCCAGCACCGTGCTAACGGCCGTGAATAACGCTCCATTCATAAACTTCAATCCCTACAGCGGTGTCTTATTAACGATGATCGGCATGCCAGCTATAAACATGAAGACTAGATGTACCGGGATGCTACTATCATCTCCTTGACTTTGTATTATAATGGCTTCCTCTTCGGTTCCGGCCGTCGACCCACTTGTGTTCGGACAGGAAGATTCGAAGTGTGGCTTGCCGTTGCCTGTGAAAGGCTACAGTGGCCTCCATGTTCAGGTTCCAGTTCAATGGTGTTACAATAATAATCCCCGTCCCCCAAGGGATCACCCTGCCCTCTTCATAGCATCTGTCATTTAAAAGGTCCAGGTCGGCCTGGGTTTACGAGCCCTAGCAGGTTCTTGTCAGAAGATAATGCAATTTAGGGTCTCTAGCTGCTCGCACCTGCTCGTTCAACATCACGACTGTGGAGAACCTCTTCCAGAGAGCATGCGCTACATCGAGGTCATGCCTCTGCTCTATTCGAAAACTTACATCGTCATCCCACGAGTTCATGGTGCTCGGCTGTAGCATTGATCTCTTCTGCACAGGCCTGAACTAATAGCAGAAAATGATAATAGGTATACCGCCAAAATCCCGTGGTGAGCTACGAAGAGACTTTAGTTGTTCGTTGATAGCAAACAGCGTGCGGGCCCTTAGCATGCTAACTTCGTCGAGGATTAAAAGTTGCTTGTCCTTTTAGTGCATCCGGGACTACCCACTAACAAATCTCAGCATGGTAGTAGGTCTAGCAATGACACAGCACGCTCAAATATGTATATGAGATGTAAACAAATTATTTACATATATACACCGCCAGCGATCCATGCTTGTGCGCGCAGGCGTACAAGACTCCCTAGATCTGTGGAGCCATCACTTCTAGCCTGTTGCTCATTCATGCTATCAACGATGCGATCTATATAACGCCCAGCGCCCGATAGATGCAGAATGTGAGCAATAGCACGGTGCACAGCCAAAAGCTGGGGAGATGGAGGCTCGATATTTCGATCTTCCGTGAGGTGTAATGTACCCTAACCCTAACCCTAACCCTAACCCTAACCCTAACCCTAACCCTAACCCTAACCCTAACCCTAACCCTAACCCTAACCCTAACCCTAACCCTAACCCTAACCCTAACCCTAACCCTAACCCTAACCCTAACCCTAACCCTAACCCTAACCCTAACCCTAACCCTAACCCTAACCCTGAGGTTAACAACTATAAAACTACACTACTTTTATAGCTCTATCTATTCCACTTCGTGCGTTTGCCTAACTATAGCTCGGTTAATTATTATATGAAAAAACTATAAAAACTATAAAACTATAAAACTATACTACTTTTATAGCTCTAACTCTAAGGTTAGGGTACCTTAGCTATTACTCGCGGTCTTTATTACTTCTTTCACTTTCTCACTATATTTAAGTGCGTAGGGGTTTCGTTTTTAATGCAAATTTGCCTATCTAATCTATGCTAGTGCTTTTAGTACTATCTAGAAGTCCGTTCCTAGAAAAGAGTTTCATTAAGCGTCTAAGAGCCGTATTAGGCCATACTAAACTAATTGATACATATGACACCGTTACACCTGCGCATTCATAAGCCTCCCAAGGGTTATCGAATTTGTTTAGAAATGCAGTAGGTATAAACGCCTTATAGAAGTACGCTACCGGTGCCCTTGTTCCTGGTAGTGCAATAACATATACTCTCTCGCCTTTTCGTCGATCTTGCCCGATTTTTCGTTGGCTTTGCGCTAGTGCGATTAAAATACCCATGATATATGGATCTTCCTGTTCCATCGCCGGCCGAAGACGGTCTAACTTCTTTTTTATTTGCCAACCGACTGGGTTGTTCTTCTTAATCATCAGTTGCAAATCCCGCAGATTTTGAACTCCCATATGCCTTCGTCGAACAGTCCGTATCGTTTCCAAGTTGATATATGCCAACGTCCTAACCCCAGATTTCACTGTGAAAATGCCGTTCGTTCTCTGTCGATCCGCGTCTTTTCCACCGTAGGATAGTTGTACATTATTGCTCCTGTTACGACACAGAGGATTAGGGTTGCATTCTCTCAGTAAAATATAGGCTAGGGTTCGGGTTTAAATGCAACCTAGATTCCATTCGGGTTGAGGGTTACTAACAATGTTTTGACTAGTTTGCAGTGGTCCATGATTTTGACTATGGCGCTCTGTTGCTCTCTCTGGTCGCCCGCTTGCAGGTCCCCAATCGCCTGCAACATGGAGGCGCTATGTGGAAGGCTAACATTTGCATGTTTCTGAACGCCAGCTTCTAGACGTGGTGATATTTTTTTGACATCATCTGTCTCGCCTTTTGCCGTCGTTTTCTGTCCTCTAACTGCGAAGTCCGCGAAATGGATGTCCAGGATTCGTAAGTGTAGGTCCGTCCTCCAGGCACTCGTTCGCACGTACAACCGCTCTCCGTTTAACTGTCGCAACGCAGCGCACAACGAACCAGGCGCGGGTTGACCAATCGACCCATATGATGATGTCAATGTCGATGCATTGACTCCACGCTCCGTTCCAGCGGAGCAGCATGACGCGCTGTCCAGACAAGGTCGCTTGTGTCGAGGATCATCATCCAGATTGGCACACGCCTTGCGCTTCGAACCCGCGCTCCAAAATCCATCATCTCCCGCAAAGTTACCAGAGATCTCTTTTAAAACCCGCATCGGTCGCGGAAACAGGCGTTAATGAATCGCGTAGATGGATAATGTCGGCCGCAATCCGAGTTTGTTATGTTGATTGGAGGAGAGAATGTTAACACGTCCAGGTTCGATCCAAAGTCACAAAACATGGTAAGTTACACAATAGCTGACGTAATCGCAACTTGCGCCCCAAACGGCTGGTGCCTGAACGCTACCCCGCGTCTGATTCAATCCGCTTGAAGAACAAGAGCTTCGTGAACATGTCCCCGAGATCTTTGCATAACTCACCGAACTCTACAGCACACATGCATCGCGCCAATGTCACTAAAAACATACTCTGCTCAAACACCTGCGGATTTGAAAGAGCTCTCTTCTCGGCACGATGGTTTAACTGTTATTTTACAGCTAACCTCCAAACAATTGATGAGCTCTGCTAGCAATTGGACACGCCTCCACCTCCTCGTCTATAGACTAATAACCGGGTCAGAAACATCATTCTTGGAACCTTTTGAGGGTGACCACAACGATGCCTGTCCCATCTGCCAGCTCTCAAAAGAGTTGCCCACGCAACAAATTGATCTTCTCATGCTTCGAAGTCTCCTAGAGGACATCACACCTTCAGAGTTGCTGCAACCCGAAAGCAAATTATTGCAGAGCCCTTGGGGTTATCTTAAGGTTGCGCTCGCCCAAGCGTCTCATACAAGTGTGACTGATGCACCCAAGCCCCGCGAGGAACGCAAAAAGCCCCCAGTGGAGAAGTACGGCAGTTATACCAATTCCTGGACTGCTATCTTAGGCTCTTCCTCACCTTTAGGCCCATCATCCTCTGAATATGAGATGGAATTTGAGGACGTTGATGAAGACGAGAACGAAGCTCGTCAGAGCATACCAGAGGATATATCCGTTCATCTGGCAATTGCGATTATTCGCTGTGTGTTGCTCTGTCTAAAACAACCTGGTGAGCAAGAGGAAGTTCGCGCACGCGTAGAGCGAATAAAAGTCCAAGCCACAATTGCGGGATTTGACGGCATTATGTTCGAAGATGATGCCGGTATGTCTTTTTACTGCAGGCAAAACTACGGTTGGAAACTAGTGCATCCATTTATAACCATGGTTGAGGCGAAACGAGCATTCAAGTACATTCGTAAAGACACGCAGTCAGGTAGAAGCAGCCCCATGGTTCCAGACAACGTCTTAGCTCAGTATCTTGCTCAAGCCGTACTGGCATGGCAAGCAAATCCCAGCTTGCTTCATAAAGGGTTTGGTGCCACCGCCTTAGAACTGCTTTGGGTTACACATTCACTGCTAACAAGCTACAGCGTTTTTCTTATGGCCGTCGTCAACACCTTTGTACAATTCATCTACTTCACTTTTGGCTCTGACTATCGCGAATACATCGAAGCCACCACCGCTGAGGAGCAACTGCGTGTTGTGAATGATCCAGAGAAGGACACCTTTGTTTACATGGCCCGCACAAAATGGTACGACTTACGGATGAGCGAAGGGAGACGGTTAACAGCGTGCACTCTGCTGACACGATTACGACAAATTTTGCCAAAATTGCAAGCAACTCGAGAGGGTGCTATGCCGTCACCAAGGACACACACTCTGGAATCGGACAGTGACGATCTCATGTATTCGGATAATGACTTTAATGATGGTAATGATAGCAGTGAATAACGAACTAAGTGGATCTGAACATATACAATCTTTGTCTTTGCGTTTAAGCTATGATCACAAACCCACCGCAACAGCCTCAGCCTCGATATCACACATAATCTCATCCAGCTTGTGTTTCAAAGTCGTCAATGCTAGCGTATATCTACACGAGGATTAGTCTTCGCCCTTCCATTCTAGATAAAAGTCAATCCGCAGATCCAACACGATGTCGTCTTGAATATCTTTCCAATTCCCGCACTCCGTGACTGCAAATGAGAAATCCTCATCGAACAACCACCATTCATAAAGGCATGTATCTATGCCAAGGTTCATTTCGTTGAGAAAAGATGGCTCAAGCCAGTCGTATCCACCGTCCAGATATCTAAGCCTCGCTGGTCGGGATGTATCAAGCCCCTTCAGGCGCGTTAAATCTTCACAGACGTCCAGCACTAGTCGCTCTGCGAGGTCTTGGCCCAGTACTTTGCTGAAGCTGTACTCGCATGGCGAGCGTATCGACGCCGGTTATCAAGGGTTTAGCCCTAGCCCACTACTATACAGCTTGCCGAACTTCCCAAAGCGCTAACAAGCTCACTTTATGGTCTTCGTCGTCATTCAGAGCAATGTTTTCATGCGCATTCCCGCTTCGGCTCTAAATACCACGATGATCTCGATGGAGTCACTACCGAAGAACAAAAGGCATTCATTAACGAATTTCCTGACGAGACCTGCGTCCACCTACATTGCACAAAACGGTACAGCTTAGAGGGAGGCAAAGGAAGAAGGCGTGGAATGTGCCAGTACTTTCAGCTCCTGGATGGGTATTCCACCCAGGAACCCATCCGCTCGGCAAACCGTGTCCGGACGGTAGACAGTGATGATAGTGACGAAGCCATGTAACTGAACGGTTTTGACGCTTCAAATATAATGTGGGTCTGCGTTTCTGTTTCGTGTTTTAGAGCACTGGTGCCGCAGCTGCCGCAAAGCTGGAGTAGTGAGGTGTTTGAGCCACATAGCTCTCCTCTACAACTCTATCGACCAATTTATCAAACCAGGCAGATGCTTAAACTACGAAACTTCAAGGAGATGTTTAGTACGGGCGTCAGACACTGGAAATTTCTCCGCATATTGGGTTTTATCAGCACACTCCTCCTGACGAGACCTGCGTCCACCTACATTGCACAAAACGGTACAGCTTAGAGGGAGGCAAAGGAAGAAGGCGTGGAATGTGCCAGTACTTTCAGCTCCTGGATGGGTATTCCACCCAGGAACCCATCCGCTCGGCAAACCGTGTCCGGACGGTAGACAGTGATGATAGTGACGAAGCCATGTAACTGAACGGTTTTGACGCTTCAAATATAATGTGGGTCTGCGTTTCTGTTTCGTGTTTTAGAGCACTGGTGCCGCAGCTGCCGCAAAGCTGGAGTAGTGAGGTGTTTGAGCCACATAGCTCTCCTCTACAACTCTATCGACCAATTTATCAAACCAGGCAGATGCTTAAACTACGAAACTTCAAGGAGATGTTTAGTACGGGCGTCAGACACTGGAAATTTCTCCGCATATTGGGTTTTATCAGCACACTCCTTGACCAGCCAACCAGTCACTGGCCCGATGAATGCAGTCATTGGTGAGCCATCAAACACGCAGGCAGTTTCTTTGTCAAATCCAGATCTCTGCATAGCGCGATTATCGCCTGCTCGCGGACATATACTCCGATAAAAACAGTAACATGCTGAACTTATAACTCAAAGAAATGTATAACAAGTTTGTTGTCTCATGAGAGCATTAAAATTGAAACCGCCACCCCCATATTTCTCTGATCCGCACATCCACATCCAAATGCTTACGAATAGCATCTGTCGAGAAGGACGCCATGTTACCACCATCAATCATTGCAGTTTGCTACCACTTGAAGTTTGGTAACCTCGTTACCACGCCTTGTATCAATGGTCAACGCTTGGGGAGAGGGAACAATTTCCGTAAGGAATACGTTTTGCACTGGCAGGATCCGCTTTTTGCGCAACGTCTGTTATTATGTGTTGGTTTCAGTGTTCAGTTGATTCAGTGGCTAGTAGATATTTGCGGATACTTTTATTACCATATACAGATTAAAGATGTGGGCTGTTCGGATTAGTCGTAACATGATAAGATACCTCGTTCTGACTTTGAAGGCACACATACAGTGACATACTTTTGTTTATAGTAACTGTGCAGGGAGTCAGGGACAGGGGACCAGATCCTACATGTAGGCTTTTAGGCGGCCGAGGCTGATAGGCAAGTAGGTCAGTGGAACACCCAGTCTGGACTCTGGACACATGCACCAGACTAGATGAATCATAAGAGCCACCACATACAGACCAAACACATCACTGGCATGGATTTCGGGACCTGGTCTGCCCTGATCACACTCCAAGGAACCAGAAATGTCCCCCTCCGGACTCCCGACAAACTTCTTTTTCCTCCTCCAAATCCAAGGCTTCCTTTCTCCATCATTTCTCAAACCGCCTTCCCATCATGGCGGACAATAGCCCCCAGCCTCCCTGCGAGGCGTCCCTGGCTCAAAGACTGCGTTCACGAAAGTTCATCGGCCAAGAAGCCGTCGACGCCATCCATGGGCGAAAGCTTCCTTTCCATCTGGGAAGACCCTTGGTGCAATATTGCATTGTTCGCGGTATTCGACATCACCTCGACTTTGCCCAGGGTGAGGCCAATACATTAAAGGGACTTTTGCCCATCTTCACAAAAGCCATCAACGCCAGACTCATCATGAGCAACCAAGTACCTGATATGCAGACGTCAGAAGACATGCCATACTGCATTTGGCACCCAGATGTACCCTCGGAGGATACTCTGCGCAAGCTTGCCGAGCGATATCCCGATTTTCAGTACCAGGTGGGAAGGGCGTGTGCCATTGCTGGCTATGCAGACCTCTACAAGTCTTTGCAGATTCTTCCCGAAGCGGCCATTGCGGAGGAGGCACGAGAATCTGGCAACCTGGAAATACATGAGTCAATAGTCAAAGAGGTCGTCAAATGGAAAGTATTCGACGACTATACCGGCACAATACTGGTGCCCACTCCATCTCGTCTCAATGCGGACACGGTAGTTTACAAGAGACTACACGCTTTCAGACAGGGCTTTAGAACGCCAGTGGGAAGAATTGAAGGCGAAGAGGGCGATCCCGAGCCTGATGATGAGCCCGACTCGGATGACGACAACTGGCTATTCTCAGACCACTTTACAGAGGGACCTTACGGCTACCACCCCCTTCACCACAACGTAACGGGAGACATGGGTCTGGACGCACCTGATACTTGGCAGCAAATGCCCAAGTTTCGCAAGTCTATTCCACCTACCCCTTCACGGCCCGTCTCACAGGCGGTGCTGGATCTTCTGTGCAACCCGTTGCCTGCCGATCTGCCAGTATGCGACAAGGACGTCTTGATTGTCATGGCAGCCTATCGAGGTGACTTGGACCGATACTGCCGATTAAGGCGCCCATATATGGTAACCAACGAGCTTGAAGCCATCGTACGGGGAATATGTGAGTACACCAGCCCAAAATCCTTGGTCTGCTCGCCTCTTAACAATGACATCTAGATCACAATAGTCAATTTGCAAAATGGTGGTCGACTCAACCACCTCTGGCCGAATCCGCATGCGCTCCTATCTCAGCGGCAATATGTGCTCGGTTTATCATGAATGACGACATTTCCTTTGCCCTTAAGCAAGCCAGCCACGACCTGCCGCAAGCCTGGTGCGTCGGTCCTCCCAACATGATTTTTTACCCGGATATTGCCCATCCAGAGACATATGAAGCTCTGGCACGAGCTATTCCGGCCATGAGGATGCCTGTGGCTCGGGCGGCCATATATGCGAACTACAGATCTGTTTTTGACTTGGTCATGACAGAGCTAAACCAGGACTTGACTGGTATCAGGCTGGATTACACCCTCTACGTCCAAGCACTTGCAAGTCCCGATCCATACTACCGCGAAACTCTTGAACGACTGGCTGAAGAGCAGGGCACGTCCGATACGTTGAAAACATGGTCGCCAAAACTGAAACCGTGGGAACAAATGTCTCTCAGGCAAGCCCGGACTGGGGACCAGTCAAATGTTCTGTATGATGATATCTATGCCTGGCGGGAGATTATTTCTACATCAGACGGCCAGTGTCACCACCATGCGATTTATGATGGGATACAATGCAACACGATTCAGCTTGAGAGATACCTTTCTCTACCCATGGAATGGCGACCAACAGAGAGGGACGTTGATGAGAGTACGAGAGAAAGGAGGTTGGACTATAAAGACTGGCCACCTCGCTCTGCTGAGTTGTTAAATACAAAGCGAGGCTCAGCTAAGAACTTGTAAGCGTCCAGGCGAGTATATTAACAACCAGCTAGGAGACTATGAACAAGTATCCGAGGATAAGGAGAAAAGGAACAAGAGAGCAAGAAAGGAGAGCTCGAAGAGCTCCTATGGGCTTGTGAGCTCGTTCCTGCTAATTTCGCTTGTTGCTGGGAGTAACTTTCAAGACAATCCATGTGGCCAGCCTCTCAAAATCCTGATATGAATGATTGTATGACATCAAGCAATGACGTCAAGTCTTCTTGTTCAATCAACAGAGGCGGTCTTATCCGACATAACTAGAAACGAGGTTGTAAGTAACGGCGAGAATGCAAGCCGAGTCACCATCGGGCTGAGCCCGTTACAGAACTAGGCTAGAAATCGGCTTGAGTAGTAAAGACGAATCTTCGCTATTACACATAGCAACGCGTATTTCGCGCTATTTGGCCTCTAATTATTGTCTTAGTTTCACCCTTAAGGAAGAAAAGTTGGCAACGGTCCGGGGTTAAGTTTCCTGACTGGCGCTAGCGCGGCTTGTAAATCTAAAAATTTTATATGCTAGGTAGCGAGTTTAGCGTCTACAATAAAACTAGAATTAGATAACGGCTTTTAATAAGATACTTTAGGGGCTATATAATTGGCATGTACAGACTTAATTCTTATTATTAGAGAAGATTCGGCGAGCTTAAGACTTTTAAGGTTATTATATTTGCCACGTAATTCTCTCTTTCTCTTCTTATTATTACTCTCTTATAATATTAAAAGCTATATTATAATAATATAATAATACGTAAGTTTTTACTATTATAAAGCTTCTTAAAACACTTATTAATATTAATAATAATAGTTTAATAAACTTATAAACTTCTTAACTTTTATAATAATTATAATACCTAATATAAGTAAGTTATTTAATATAATATTTAAGAATTAATATTAATAAGACTTTAAAGGTAAATTTACCTTAATTATTAATTAAAAAACCTTATATAAAAGAAAATCCTTAAGAAACCTTATAATTATAATTAAAGGGCTTGAAAAAACTAAAGTAATTATAAAAGTATAAAATAAAGCTATTAAAAATATAAAAAGAAGAAAAAAAAGAGAACGTTAAAGAAATCTACTATAACGTTAGCTAAAAAATAAATACTAGAAGCTAATTAATTCTTGTTTTTAAGGGAAAATATTTTTATTAAAATTAATTTAAAAATAAAGTCTTTATAAGAAAAAGAAATTATTTTATATAATTATATTATTTATTAACCTGCCTAGTATTAGACGGTTTATTAAAGTAGTTAACAACTAAAAATAATAATATATAACGTAATAACTCGCTTAAACTTGCTTATATAGTGTGTAGTAGTATTTATACTTATAAGTTAAAGGAAGTTAAATAGTGTATTTAATTGTAGCTACATTATTAATTTATTTAAATTAGTTTATTACTTATTTAAGAACCTTATTATTTCTAAGAGGTAAGTTACAAGAATTAAAAAGTAACTAGATCGCAATACCGCGTATAGAGTTACTAGTGTGTGTGTGTATCGAGTTTAGGCAAACAAAATAGTGGGTTGTTAGTAATTACGAAAAAAACCCACTAAAATCGCGTATTAACCTATAACGCGTCTATTATAATAATATACATTTTATCTTTAAAATATAATTATTACCACTATAATACCTTAAGTAATTTAAAATAAGAATTAAAGTCCTTAGAGGTAAGATTTATAAAATATACTCTTTAAGTATTTCTATTAATCGTATTATTAAAGAGAAGAAGATTTTTATTAATAGCGTATATAATATTATAAAATAATACGAGTAATAAATTAAGGGTTAAGATTTACTACGCTTTAAATAGCTTTTAAAGCTTATAAACTATAAAAAAAGATATATTATATAAATTATTAGTTAAAACCCTTTTATTTAAAACTAAGATCTTCTTTATTAGGCTAACCTATTATATAATATTATAACTTTAACGCGTTACCTTAAATTAATAGGTATTTAATATAAGCGCGTACTTTAATAATTAAAATTAACACTAAAAGATATAAAAAGACGCCTAAGATTTACTTTATATAACGCGCACACGGAGTCACCTGTGAAGAGGGACTAAATCGGGTCTACTTGTATTCTAAAACGAGGTACGAATCCCTATCGATTTTAATCCGAATTCTATGAGTATTATCACGTGAGAAAAAGTTAATTATATAATAATACTAAGTTTTTTTTTTTAATAAAGTCTTAATTATAACTTCTAATAATTAAAAGGTATAATAGTATTTTTTAAGGTATATAAGCTATAATAGCCCTTTAAAGAATCTATAATAACTTCAAAATTAATTTATTTTAAAATAAGAGACTTAACTAAAATAAAGTATAATTAAAGCCGTATAAAATATTATATAGTAGCATTTATACTTACAAGTTAAAGGAAGTTAAATAGTGCATTTAATCGTAGTTATATTATTAATATAAGAGAATAAGCACGCGCTTAAGTCTTTAATTTAATAAGTTTTACCTTTATAATTAATCTTATAAGATCTTTTATTAATATTTTATTAAGTCTTTTAATTAGCCTTATATAAGCTTATATTACGTAATTAAATTATTTAAGTTATTTAATTACTTACTTATACTTATAATAGGTTATAGCTTATAATACGTGTAATGAAAATTATTAGTATTTTAAAAGCATTTAATTACTTTATTTAAATTAATTTATTACTTATTTAAGAACCTTATTATTCTTAAGAAGTAAGTTATAGAAATTAAAAAGTAACTAGATTACGATACCACGTATAAAGTTATAGGTGTGTGTGTGTATCGCGTTTAGGCTAATAAAATATACTAATTACTAATATTTTAAGGTGTATTTAACGCGTTTAATCGCTTATTATTATATACTTTTTCTAGTAATAATAACTTATCTTAATGTAATATAACTTCTTAAATAATACTTAATACCTTATAATTCAAGCTACCTATAATTTTAAAGCCTAAAAATACCTTTATATAAGATAATACTATTATATATTTAAGTTAATTAATATAAAATTAATTACGTAATTAAGCTATAAAAAATAGGGTTCAACTAATAAAGTAATTATTATATTTACTTAACCTTAACCCTATTAAAAACCTTTAAAAATTACTAAAATAAAAAATAATTAAGTATTACTTTAAGCTAGTAAATATAAGAAATAATATTACCTTATTTTTAAGGCTTAAAATAGCTGCTATAAAGGCCTAAAAAGATTATTATTAAAAGCTATTATAAAAGCTAATTAATATAATACCCTATTAAATTAAAGCTATTATACACGTAAATAGCTAATATATTAAGTATTAATTATATTAATTAATATAAAATTAATTAAATTTTCTATTATTTATATAAAAATATAATTATTATTTGATTAGCTAAGAAATCGCGGTTTAAATATTTGCCTTGTAACGCGGGTACATAGAGTCTATTAAGGCTTAAAATAGCTGCTATAAAGGCCTAAAAAGATTATTATTAAAAGCTATTATAAAAGCTAATTAATATAATACCCTATTAAATTAAAGCTATTATACACGTAAATAGCTAATATATTAAGTATTAATTATATTAATTAATATAAAATTAATTAAATTTTCTATTATTTATATAAAAATATAATTATTATTTGATTAGCTAAGAAATCGCGGTTTAAATATTTGCCTTGTAACGCGGGTACATAGAGTCTATTTTAGGTTTTTCGGAATTACCGTTACCCATTGTACATAGTTCTAGCTAATGTCCAGACCACGCCGAGAGGAGGGTGTTAGGCTGAGTTAGCGGATATAGCGGCACGGTAATTTTTCCGTATCGGGCGACCTGCCTAGGTGGAACCGACGGACAGATAAGGGTTTGGTTAGACGAGAATTGTGTTAACCAAGTTTTAAAGGTAGAGCCAAGTACCCCTAGAGGAGATATTTCTACGATCGACTGTGTTTGGAGTCAGTTGGCACTATACGGAGTCCACGTCTTGTCACACTAGACCCAACAAGGTGAATAGTTATCTGCAACCGTGAATATTTTTTGGCCCCCCGGTTCGGGATAAGCATCTCCGACCGAAGAGGGTACAAGGTTCCAGACAGATTTTATCTGGAGGCACTTTTTCCTTTTCGGGTTTTCTACTCACGTGAAAGATACAGAACCGTAATAATACTCACGAATCGCCCCTGAGTAGTGAAGCCGATGCCTTGCGCCTGAGGCTGACGGAGGTAACAGTAGATTATCAAGCCCGGTTTCCAGGCTGCGGCTATATTTTCAGTTCTTAAGTCCTTGAATTCTTTTCTTCTCTTTTCACTGGATCGATTCTTAAAGTAGTTGGCGTCTAATAATATACCTCTATCGTCGCGGAGTCCTCTGGCGAGATAATCAGGTACCACCCACTCATTTGCCATCCTTCTAACGTACACTAACACACTATGGACCACTGCTCTAATAACTACCTCTCATCCCCAGACAGGATGAAACTCTTCACAAGAGCTCTCGCGCTTTCTGCTGCACCACTCTTGGTTCAACTAGCTCTAATCCCTATGACGCTCTGCCTAGTGGTGTTAGCCTAGTTCCCCATGACAGCGTCCCTCACCCCATGCTTGATTCCCAAGCAGCAGTGGATGCGTACCTCGAGGAATGGACCGCTGCTAACGATCGGACTCCCGCCTCTGCAGAGAGAAAATGTCCTCCTCTATGCACAGAATTTGGCTCGGACCCCAAGAATTGGCATCTCTATTCGGAGGTGGCTGAGCTGCAGCAGTGTAATGAGACGTTGGTCTTTGACTTTGCAGTAGACCAGGAGCTGGATAGTAAACATAACAAGGGAATGTTTAGGGCGTGTGTGGCAGATTATGGCCCTGCCCCAGCAACCAGGAGGGCAGGTCTATCTACAGCAGGGTGTTCTGTCGTCTACCCGTCCAAAATCAAAGCCACCGTCGAATTAGGATGGGCGGGCTCCTCTAGTTCATCGGATGCTTCCCGAGCCGCCGTTATCGCCGGCAGTCAAATTTCACGACACATCAAGTCCAGGATAAGCACGTGTGCCAACAACACAATCAGCTTCGGGTCTTCCGGCAGAACCCTGGTCGGTTTGCATGCCGGATCCCAGGTCCTCTCGCAGGGCGTTGCGGAAAACGTCCTCGACGAATTCGCTTCCCATGCTGAAAAGAATGGCCTCTCTGACAAAACCGTCTTCCAACTCTGCGCGAGCAGAGACCGCGGCGCTGATTTTGCCATTGGCATCGCCGTCAGCCTTTCTGGCGACGTCTCCTTTATTCAGAGTACAGTCAAGGCGTGGAACAACGGCGCGTGTGCCCCTGATGTGGGCAGCACCGAGAAATGGGCCGATTTCACTCTGCAAGTCCCGAATGTAACAAGTGTCCACGGTCTCTCTCGACGAAGTCCACCCCCAGCAAACAGCGATGGCACTTGCGCCACGAAACGCGTCGATGCTGGCGACTCTTGCGCCGCGCTCGCAGCAAAGTGTGGTATTTCTCCTGCAGACTTTACGATGATCAACTCGGGTGATGACTTCTGTGCCACCCTCATCCCGGGATAGCATGTCTGCTGCAGCCGTGGTACCCTCCCCGACTTTACGCCCAAGCCCGAGCCAGACGGCTCTTGCCATGTGTATAATGTCTATGACGACGATAGCTGCTCTTCCATCGCGGCGGCGAACAGCCTGACGGTGGACAAGTTGGAGTCGTTTAATAAGTATACGTGGGGCTGGAACGGGTGCAAAATGCTCTGGTCGGGGATAAACATTTGTTTGAGTGAAGGGAGTCCTCCTATGCCGGCGCCCGTGTCGAACGCTGTTTGCGGACCGACGGTGCCGGGGACGAAGAAGCCTTCAGGCGGCAAGAATCTTACGGATCTGAATCCTTGTCTTCTGAAGGTTTGCTGTAATATCTGGGGCCAGTGTGGCATTAGTTCTGTGAGTGTAGCGTCTCCGATGACATGGTAAGACGAGTAAAATGCTGATCTGATCGTCTCTCTTTTCGCCCATAAGGACTTTTGTGTTGCAACAAAGTCGGAAACCGGTGCTCCGGGGACTGCCAAGCCGAGTACCAACGGCTGTAAGTTGAGTGCTAGTTTGAATACGGCAATGGGATACTGATGAAGTCATCAGGTATTCAAAACTGTGGTAGCGACATCATTCAATCCAGCCCACCCAAAGAGACCGTTCGCATCGGCTACTTTAGCTCTTGGAATGCCAACCGCGAGTGTGGCGTGCATGAGATTGATACCAAGGCATATACGCATATTCACTTTGCCTTTGCTAACGTCACGTCCGACTTTAAAGTTGACATTAGTGGCGTCCCTGATGAATTTGAGCGCTTCAAGAAACTCACTGGTGTGAAGAAAATCATATCCTTTGGAGGCTGGGATTTTAGCACCAACGCGGGCACGTTTCGAATCATTCGCGAGGCAGTAAAGCCAGCTAATCGGAATACATTTCGGGACAATGTGGTCAATTTTGTAAACGACCATGGCTTGGATGGTTTTGATTTGGATTGGGAGTATCCTGGTGTACGTCCTGAATAACTCGTGGGCTGGAGAAGAGGAAAGATGACTAACACTGCGCAGGCCCCTGATATTCCTGGAGTTCCTCCTTCCGGCAATCCTCAAGAAGGCTTAAACTACTACAAGTTTCTTTCCATTGCCAATTCGGCACTTGGCAGCGGCAAGTCAGTCTCATTTGCTGCGCCAGCGTCCTACTGGTACCTCAAGGCCTTTCCTATTGAGCTAATGGCCAAGTCCCTGGTTGTCTACATGACGTACGATCTTCACGGCCAGTGGGATTATAACAACAAGTGGGCGAGCTCCGGCTGTCCTGATGGCAACTGTCTTCGATCCCATGTGAATCTCACGGAAACTATCTTGTCCCTGTCCATGATTACCAAGGCCGGCATTCCCTCCAACAAGGTGGCCGTGGGCATCACCAGTTATGGGAGATCATTCCACATGGCTCATGCTGGCTGTGACGGGCCGGACTGCAAATTTACCGGATCCGCCACGCACTCGGATGCCAAGGTCGGAATGTGCACAAATACTGGCGGTTACATTGCAGACGCCGAGATCAAGGACATTATCAATCTATACCCTGAGAACATCAAGCAGTGGATAGACACATCTAACTCCAACATCCTTGTCTACAATGACGTCGAATGGGTAGCTTACATGGACAAGGACATCAAAGACTACCGCAAAAAGGTCTACGACGTCTTTCACTTTGCCGGCACCTCGGACTGGGCCCTGGACCTCCAAGAGTTCCAGGAAACAAAGGATGTCATCCCTTACGAACCCCCTCGTGAGATGGGCATCTGCAACCAAGCTTACGACACCATCCAGGCCATAAAAGCCGACATGGATAATATCCCCTGGAACTGCAAGCACCAATACATCGTCTCGGCCCGCCAAAAACAACTCACCGCCGCTCTGAAGCAATACAACGATATATTCAACGACGGGTACTCACACAAGTACGAAACTTTTGCCAAAGCCACCAAACAATCCTATGAAAACACCCTCGGCAACTTTTACCTCTACGAAACGGACACCTACTTTGACTGTGTCCAATCCACCTCAGTGACACAGGCGACATCAAACGGTGCAGTTTCCACAACATCTCCATCGCCTGCCCGCCCAAACACCCCTACGACCAAGCATTCAACATCTACCTCCTCCCCAAAGACGACAACAAAATCCTCAACCACCTCGACAAGGACTTTGGTGTCTCCCCGGACGCCGTCTACGCTGAAGATTGGCACTACGGCCCCTGTCTCCCCGAGCAGGATAAAATCTGCTCGTGCTCCAAATGGGGCCACCTCATCGGTCGCAAAGCCATCAAGCCAGATTGGAAGCTTCCCGATCCCAAGAAATATGTCGAACAGGCCTTGGCAAACATTACCATAATAAACGACTTCCTCGAAGAGGCCACCACGGCAATGGACATGGGCATCTTCATCGACTCGGCTACCGACACTGTCGATGCGACTGCTCTGCCTGTCCTCATGATTGTTGCCGCCGTTGACTCCATGGAACAAATCAAAGAAGCGGGAGAAAAGATTGAAGAAGAAGAACGGAAGAATATCATTCTGCTCGCGCTGACTGCAGTGTTCTTTGTGATTCCAGGACTTGGTGAAGCGCTGGGTGCCGTTTCAGGCATAGCAGCTATTGCGCGCCTGGCAACCATTATTGCCGAGGCAGGCGGTGCTGGTCTTGGAGTATATAATATTGTTAATGATCCAAAGAGTGCGCCGTTGGAAATTTTCAGCATGTTAATGGGAGGGTTGGCTGTCAAGGGCGCGGCGAGAGGGTGGATTGGTGAGGCGGCTGGCATGAGAAGGGCCATGGATGCGACGCATGTGAAGGGAATGGGTAGGATTTTGAGTGATGGGTTGGGAGATGTTGCTTCTGTTTTGAAGTACTGTAAGAAGACGTAATGAGGAGAGGTGTTGGGCAAAAATGCACTGCAGGGGCTAGACCTCAGTGGACGCGCACCTCTCTAGAGCACCTTGGGCTGATCCAAATCGAAAGACCTGGCGGGAATATTCGTGGAAGAACTGCGCAAGAACCCAGGCGGATCTATGAGCGAAGGCTAGCATGGCCGAGCTTGCGTAAAAGGTCCTACCGTGGGGGTCACGGTAGGCGTGGCTACCTCGTATAGTTGGGGAATGCAGAGGCTGATGGGAACCGGAACCGCTATACTGACAATTAATACAATGAATGGCTGAGGGCAGCAAGGCCTCGGAAAAATCAGGTGAAGCCGGTAGGCGGAAGCTGGTTGTGAAGGAAGATGGGGAGACGGAAAAATCAAAGGTATTAGAAGTTTGGGTGGCTGGGAAACCTAGAATAAGAAGGACATGAACCCTTTTGAAGGATTAGAAAGAACAGTTATGAATGAATATAAAGGAAATTGGAACATATCTTAATAACCATAGCTAATACACATTTCAAAACCGACAAGAGGAGTAGTAGGGGTCGTCTGGCTTGAACTGGGTGCTCTTTTACAGCTATTACGTATGACTATAGGTTTGCCCACTATTGAGTATATACTAAATAGTATAGTATATAATACTTTACTCCGCGATAAGCAGATACTTTAAGTGAATAGATACTTGAGTAGTTTACCACGAGCTATGCATTCTTAGCTTCTTATAAATATTTTATACGCTAGAATTAAAGAGCGCTTAAATAATTAAGCTTTAAGTTTAAGTAAAGATATAAAATTATAATTTTAATAATTATCTTTTAAAAGTAATAAAAGATAATAATAATGATTTTTAAGAGTAATTATTAAAGTTATAACTTTATAAGTATAATTTATTACCTTTTTTAAGCTTAAATTTAAAAGCCTATACTATATATATACTATTTAGGTTAATAATAGTTGATATTTTATCGTCGTAATAAATAGTTTAACTGTAAATAGACTAGAGTTATAAGCAGAGCATTATTATTGCTACATTAATAAGAAAACTACATTTTTAATTTTTAAAAAAGCTTAAATAATTAATAATAAATACATAAATTAACTAATATTATAACTAATTAGCTTACGTAAAAAAGTGGGCTCTTTTAGCTTTTTATAAGCTTAAAAACTAGATTATATAGTTTTTCAAAAACTTACTTATTCGTAAAACTTATAATCTTATAAGTATTTTATTAGATTTAATATTATTTATTATATGAAAAACTATAAAAACTATAAAACTATAAAACTATAAAACTACACTACTTTTATAGCTCTAGAACTTATAAGTATACGTAGAGTTAGAATAATTATAAAGTGCTTTAATTAAAAATAAATATTTATTTAAGTATAAGTAATACTCTCTCTCTCTTTTTTTATGTGTAATTTTTTTTTATTTAAATTAATAAAGTAATTTTAAGGCTAATTAATTATCACTATTAATTATACTAATTGGAATATTTAATATCTCTCCTAATATCTTCTTAGTAACAAAATCTCCTGCAGGTTCAACCATGCCTTCCAAGGCTCTCGCGGCTTCTTCCAGCGGCTGCATGGTCTGCTTTTCCCCGTCAGCGCCGCTAGCTAGCAGGAGGACGTAGCCGACGATAAAAGGCAGTTCGGTTTCATTTTCAAGGTAATCCGGCCCGTAAATCTGCCTAAGCAGAGGATCGCAAGCCTCCTTCACAGCGCGCAGAAGCCGCCAACACCAGCGATGCATTTGCGCATAAGGGAATGAGAACTCGACCGTCTCTGCGTGAAGGGCAAACGCAAGTAGCTCTATCATGTGTTCGGCAGCCATACGAGATCCTCCGGTAGTCCCTTTGCGTCGAATACCTTTATTGTATTGCTCCCTCAGCCTCTTCTTCTCTTTCACCTTCTTCGAGTCCTCAATCTGGCCGAGAAGCAGACCGCCTTCCTCGTCAAATTCTTTCTCGTACATGCTCAAATCAATAATCTGGTCCAGTTGTTCTGCTGTGATGGAAAAGGCGACCTTTTCGCGATATCGAGGGGCGAACATGTAGTGCACCGGCGCGTTAGGCTTTATTCCGCGCGGCCCTGCCTTGGACGCTACCCTTTTGCCTTTACGTCGGTCTTTGCTAAGGGCCGCAGCCGACACTCCTATTTGCAAACAAAACTTCTTGAATTGTTCGTCTGGCGTCCTCGGGGTCTCGCTACCCACGTAAAAGCTATCCGTGTCCAACAGGGCCTTGACCACATCCATGTCTGCCCAGCGCTTCGACAAGTGGCCACGTTGCTGCGCGGCGTTGTATAGATGCTCGCAGTACTGCAGAGACCCCCATGCATCCGCCAACGACAAGCCAATCTCGTGATATTGGCTACGAAAGAAATACAGCGTGAGACCGCTTATTACAGGGGACATGCGAAATAGGCGATGGCCAGCACCCAGGCGAGAACCCCAGCCCATACGCTGATAAAGTTTATTCTGAACCCGCAACAGCGGGTCCTCGGCCAGCCATTCAATGCTAGTTCGGACATTTCGCAAGACTCTGTCATTCGACTCTGGCCAGTTGACGATCTTGAGGTCTTTATGGAAGGAAAAGTGCTGCTCGATATCGTTGGAAATAAAATTGATGTGGGTAGACATGGTGTGGTAGGCGCTATCGACATCTTCCCCTAGAGTGTACGAGATGTCCAGAAATACCTGGGTGGCAAAGACGGAATAGAATGGAATTTTCTTGGTTCTGTGGATTTGCTCCATGCCACGCAAAAATTCATCCTCAATCGGCCAGTTGGGCACACCCATAACAATGGTCATGAGTTCGGAGAAATAAGGCATGACCAATGCTCGGTCATCTTGAAACTTTGCGAGGCCCGTCTTTGTAGAGCGATCGCTGGACGGATCGTAAGTCCCGTATATTCCGTCCTTGTAAATTGGAACCTGATTAGGCTCGAGAATAGCGGCGAAAGCTTCCAAGTACCGATATGCCATCAGGTAGACGCTTTCGGCAATATTATATGTGTCGTAGTTGAAGTTGTCCTTGCCATTTTTCTCCCCGAAAAGGTCCTCGACTGCAAATCCCTCGTCCAAGCATTGAAATACATAAAACTTTTGCAGCATGCGGTGGTATCCGCCGTGAGTATCGAAAATAGGTAAAACATCATCCATCATGCCGCGGACAAGCTCAATTGCCGTATTCGTTGCAATAGCGGCCGATGTTACGTCAAAAAGACCAGCTCGGTAATTGGACCAGATCCATTTCACGCGAGATCTCATCCGGTCCATGTCGTTTAGTATAGCCACAAGGGCGAAAAAGGCATCCTCCAAGGAAAATGGGGCCTCAGCTTCATACGTATTTGGATCATTCTTGGCTCTGGTTGGTCGCTCGACATCTGGTGCGTTTAAGAACTCTTCAGATGGTTCGTAGACTGCAAGACCGCGGAACTTGTTACTCAGATTGTCGATGGATGGGGCAACGGGCGCGTCATCGGTATTGGGCATGAGAGCGGTGAGAATGCGGCGAACCTGTTTCAGGACTGTAGTGCATCATATTAGCCTAGTTGGTACGGAGACGAGGATGTCTGGTAGGCAGGAGCTTGTCTGCACATACTCTGAACAAAATAGCTATGCTTGGCAACCGAATCGTGGTTCAAATTCTCGCCGTGTGATTCAACTTTGGAACCAAAGCCCTCGCGTGAGGCAATAACTCGGTCAAGTATCACGCTGAAGGAGTGCGGGACAGGGACTGAGTGCTCAAGCAGATCTCTGCCAGAACAATAAAGTCTTTGATGGCGATGGTGTATTTTGGACCGGATGTGAGGGCTGGCGACTGCGTCTGCGGGGTACCTGTTGATGGTGCTTTGGCTTTCTTCTTGGCCTCTGTGCGAGCTTTGCCTTTAAGCCGACCGCCACTCCCATTCGCCTTGCCCGCAGTCTTGCACGTCGAGGAAAGAAGATGGTCGGGAAAGCCAGCTAATTTGGCCGTCGAAGCAAGCCATGTTGCGATGGAATCAGTGTCCTTTTTGTACTCGCAATAAGTACTGATCAAGGCGTCTGGCAGCATTATGGCAGGGGGAGGCTGTGATGCAAAATTGACCAGTTGACATTTTAGTGTTTACAGTAAGGTGGTATTTTAGGGCTGTTAGGAGGAAAAGTGGACTCAATCACGTTACCTAGTGAAATGAGGGGTAATAAATATTACTCCGTACTGGGGACGCTTTAGGTAGAAAGTCATAGAGAAGAAGGGGTTGTGCTTTTTCTACTCGTGCTACGCCCCACTATTTTAGGGGCCTCGTTTCACTCACCACCTAAAGGTAGTGCTTATTACTAACGCGGCCTAATTACTAAAGTAGCTTAATTCTAAACCTAATAACTTAATTAACCTTTTCGCCTTAAATATATACTCTTTTCGTCTTAAATTTTTAGGCTTTAAAATATAAAGTTTAATATTATTAGAGCTATAAAAGTAGTTAGTTATATAGTTTTATAGTTTTTATAGTTTCTACGAAGGTGCGCTTTAAAAGTCTTGCTATCTAGGTTATAGCGAGTACCTTCTAGTATAAGAGCTACTATAATTTAACCCCTAAATAAATATTCTCTTAGTAAAGAAAATTACTATTAGAGATTAATATTAAAAGGTAATCTTACTAAACCTTAAAGACTTCTTAGTAAGAAGTGAAAAACATATTATATACTCCTATATACTAACCTTATTTTAGGTGCTAAGCTATAGGTAAGACTTTTAACGCGTACCTTCGTAATATAATAAGTTATATTACGAATTTAATATTATTTATTATATTAGAAATTAAATAATAATTTTAGTATTTATTTTACTTTTATATATTATTTAATATAAATTTTTAAAAAGTATAAGTTTATTTTTTAAGTGGATTTTTTTTCGGAATTACTGGGACCGACTATAGAGTGTAAAAACGGGTACCCGTAGGCACTCGTGGGTATCCAAGTTTTTCTTGGGTTATTCGTGGCCCGTGGGCTACCCGTTTTATTATATAGGTGATTTAGGTATATTACAGGTAACCTAATATAAAGATAAGTACCTTATTTATTTATTTAAGTACCCTAGAGCTATTTTAAGCTATTCTAGTACTTAATAAATAAATAAATATATGTTTATTATAATAACATAAGTATTTTATTAAATTTATTATTAAATATTTAAGCTTTTTTAAATTTAAAATATAGTTTTTTCGTTACATCTCTAGCTCTCACGATAACTCTAATATATGCGACATTCAAATTGCGACAACTAATTAGACTGGCATTAGTAGGCAAGCATGCCGGATCGATATCAGCCCCCAAACCCATCGGCCGAGAGTAACACGGCTTTCTGATCAGAGAATTCGTATTCATAGCCAAATTACCATCACTTTAAAACAAGGATTGCTCCAGGAACTTATTAGTCCTGTGACTATCGATCTAGAGGCCGTGACGTTCCGCGCTTGGGTCCCAGCACGAACAACGACGGAGACTGCTCGGTACAAAGAAAGAGCTCGATCGTATAGCAAGGATGTCATGGGTTCACTTCCAAAACGCCTTCCGTCCATCCTAAGTTATGATGAAACTTCAGCCGAGTACATCCGATACGGCACAAATAACGCCGTTTACGTTGTTGAAGGGTCGGGAATACGAGGAAAGGGCGCACATGCCTCGGTAATGAAGGTCAAAAATGTGTCTACTAGGGAACTTTTTGGTGCAAAAGAGCCGTACTACAAAATAAGTGATGATGCGGATACCTCGAGGAAACGATTTGAAGCCTTGAGGGCTGAATACGATCATATCAAACGTCTGTATCACGTAAGTTCGTGCAATCTATGGATCTATACTGTTTTAAAAGCTAAGAACCTGTCCGCCCTAGCCACATATTGTGAAAGCGTTCGATTTGGTTGTAGCTGAAGACATAACTTTGTCACAGTGGATGATTGTGGAATATATTCCATTAAACTTCGGTGAAGCCCTACCCGGGCTTGATAAAAGTGAGCGATTGATAGCCATGACACATCTTAGCAGTACTTTGGCTTATATGTATACGAGCGGCGTTCGGGACCTGAAACTGTATAATGCGCTTGTTATGAAACGACAGAAGGAACTAATTGTGAAACTAGCCGATTTTAGGACCTTAGAACAAAAAGAGTCTGCTAAATTGGATACATTTACCGGCACGGAAATCTACATGGCTCCTGGGCTGTTTAATAAACCTAGGCTCTATACAAATAAAATCGACATGTGGGCTCTCGGGCTTATTGGGATGCAGCTATTCACAGATTGGGAACCCGAGACTGACGAATAATGGGACCCTAATGATTTTCGGATTTGGGTTCGCAACGTTGCTCTCCCTAAGTTCGCTGAGGCACGAGAATTCCTCCAACCTATGATCAAGGGTCTTCTACAAAAAAATCTAGTGAGGCGATGGAGCCCCTGGAAGTGCCTGAAATGGCTGTGGAAGTATGAGGCAACTGATTCACCTGATGAAACCTTCAAATCTGGCACAGACACAACAATCAACAGGAAACGCCGGGCATCTAGAGACCTTCAGCTGCTGCAGAGAGCTGATAATGATAGGCACAGGCGCAGTCTGAACCCTACGCTGTCGCCTACCCGAGTACAAGTTTTCGTGTTTCAGGAAGATAGAGTCTCCCAGATACGGCATCTCCTTTTCCCAGGCTGCCGGATCTACCCGTACCGTCCACTGCATCAACCCCGCGGATTAATGACACGACTTTGGACTTGAACCAGCAAGAAGACGACAAGTCTTCTGGCGCTGACCCCGACTCGGAAGAATGGCAATATTGATGGTTTCAGCCCGAATTTTGTCAGTAATAATACTGGAGTGTTTCAAAAACCTCGTGCTGTAATCGTGCTGTAAATCTGTCCAAAGTCTTTTGGAACTGGCAACAGAGTTCTGCAAAGTCAGAACGCTAATAGCTTTTATGCAGGGCAGCGTATATGCGGGCAGCAGTGGAACATTATTGAATGGTTCACAGATGTCTTCTTAGGTGCATTGGCCCATACTATTGGCTACGCAAGTTAATGCTAATGCTTACATTCCCAGCTTCAGTGGCAATGCGCTCCGTGTTAATGGTGACGTCACACTCGCCGCAACGAAAGCAAAAAGAAAAAATATTACGAAATGGAGACTACGATTGCCTGGACGTAATGGTTGCGAGCAGGCTTTAAATCCAGGAATTCCAGATGCAGGAATGAGGCTACAAAGAGAAGCATCCTTGTTGGTTAGGTGTCTTTTCCGCCAAACAGCATGCCGTGTAATGCAAGTATAGACTACAGGATATCTAGACAATGTATCAAAGTGTTAGCTGCTATCCTTCACCTAGTAGATAGTATAATTGATATTGTTTCCATCAGCTACTTTTCTACGTGGTGACTAAATTATGCATTTGTCTACATACTACTCGAGGATAGCTCCACAAGTGCTGTATGTTCGGCTCCAAATAACAGGTGCGGGCCCAATACTACTTGATATTCTAAAGACCTGTAATAGAGTTATTAGTACACGCCTCCAGGACATTTAATGACTGGCTTAGACGGAAGGCTGGCGTTATTTATCAGCCCATTGTCCAACCAGTTATGAGACAATATGAAATATTATGATCCACGTAAATCTTAGCGGTGTTGACTGACAAAACCTGCAGGAAGAAGAAAACCCGAAGGCAGACTCCAACACCCCTTCGTCTCAATGCCAGATACACCACTATATCAAGCCATAATTGATAGCATGAAAAACGTCCGTCTCTCTTTGACGTTCAACCACTACTTCGTTTCACTTCACTTTTCAACTTCAGGTTGGCAATACGGTTTCCAAGCTCACTCTGGCCGCTGCTAAAGTTGTTATCAACGGCAAGACTATTCAGGAGTCATATGTGTTTCCTGCCCCAGTGTTTAGGTCACGGATCGATGAAAACGGCAGAAAAAGCCCGGGTGTGCTGTATCGGACGCTCCGTCAACTCTAGCAACTGTCAGCAGTGGTCCTAGTATGGTGCAAACCATGTGGCTCCCTCCTGTTGATAGCGCGATAGTGCTTTCAACCATAGGTTACTAGCTGCCGGATGGGTTACGACCCAGGCTCGTTGTATCCGGCGGAATGCGATAGTCCTTTGTGTTCTGGCAAGCTCGACTAATGCGGTCGTGATTCCATAGAGGTGCCGGAAAGGAGAGCTTTACCAAGTCTGCCGGTGCAACACACTACATCAAGTATACGGCAGCAGATGTTGTCGCCAAAGTTCTCGAGCTTACAAGCGCATGGGAGCGCATGCTGCAGTTGTGGCAGCGAGTAATGTCATGGCATCTGCCTCGGCCGTTGAAATGTAAAATTCTGGAGGGACGTTGAGCTGTGTCGGGCTATCCGCCAGGAAAGAAACTCTAGAAACCCCGATCAACCGGATCATTCTCAAAGGCTCGCCTTGGAGGGGAGACTTGGTAGGATCTCTCAAGCAGTGTTTGGAGGCGGTGGACCTGGTGAGGAGGAGTGTCGTGAAGCCCAGGTTGGTGGTTAGGCCGTTTGAGGACTCGCCTGCCATGTATGAGGATTTGGAAAGAGGGCATATCAATGGGAGAATCGTGCTCAAGATTGCAAAGGACGAGTGAGGAGAGGACGCAGCAAGTCTCCGAAATGCCAGTGGATTAGCCTAATACCCCATGTGATAAGAGCAAGTGTAAGTATTTTGAACTTGATCTATATTGAATCGAATAAAAACAGGTTGAAAATGTAGCGGCTATGATGCTGCTTGTCTTCACCCCCTATCGTCCTGTCATGCACATATGCAACTTGTTGAAGTCAGGACTCTGAGTCTAAACTGTACAAAGGTATATCGTCATCGTATAACTAAAATATATAATTTCTTCCATGCTTCTGGCCTTTAAAAGCCAATGGGGCTGGTGGAGTTACTGCCCTCGCCGTTGTTGATCAAGACGTTGGGAGTAGTGCCTGGAACACCCTGAATGGCACCCCTGATGCCCTTCTGCTTGATAGAGTCGCAGAGGCCCTGAACTGATGCACCCTTGCCCAGGAAGTAGGCGCCAATGCCGGCAACGTGTGGCGAAGCCATGGACGTACCGGAGATGGTGTTGACCCCGCCGTTGATCCAGGTCGACGCGATGTCGGAGCCCGGGGCGAGGACATCAACGATGGAGCCGTGGTTAGAGTACTGGGCGAGAGCATCCGTCTTGGTAGTAGCACCGACGGTGCAGGCGGACTGCTCCGAGGCAGGCGAGTAGCCACTGGCGTCCTTCCCATCGTTGCCCGCAGCGACAGCGAGGAAGAGGCCGGCGCTGCTGATGGCTTGAGCGGCCTGGTTGACGGCGGAAGACCTTTGGCCACCGAGGGACATGTTGACAACGATACCCTTGGGGCACTTGCTCTGCTGGCCCTTGGCCTCCTGGGCGACGAATTCCATACCAGCAATGACAGCGGAGCTGCCGTCTGTTAGTGCCGTACTACCAGGCTATATAATATAGGCCATCGGGTGAAAAGCTTACTTGGAGCCGCTGCCGACGGTGCGGGCGGACTGCTCCGAGGCAGGCGAGTAGCCACTGGCGTCCTTCCCATCGTTGCCCGCAGCGACAGCGAGGAAGAGGCCGGCGCTGCTGATGGCTTGAGCGGCCTGGTTGACGGCGGAAGACCTTTGGCCACCGAGGGACATGTTGACAACGATACCCTTGGGGCACTTGCTCTGCTGGCCCTTGGCCTCCTGGGCGACGAATTCCATACCAGCAATGACAGCGGAGCTGCCGTCTGTTAGTGCCGTACTACCAGGCTATATAATATAGGCCATCGGGTGAAAAGCTTACTTGGAGCCGCTGCCCTGGGCGTCGAGGACCTTTACTCCGAAGAGCTTGGTCTTCTTGGCAACACCGTACGTCTTGGAGCCAATGGTTCCAGCGACGTGAGTACCGTGACCGTTGCCATCGGTCTCCTGGCCGTCACCAGCGAAGTTCTTGAGGAACGTGGCGCGGCCTTCAAACTCCTATCCAAGCTTGTTAGCACATTGCTGGCCACCTGATCCATGTGATTGTGCATACAGGGTGGGATGCCTCGACACCAGTGTCGATGATGAAGGCGCAAGTACCCTCGCCAGCGCTGTCATCGTAGGTATAGGTGGTGGTGCCAGCTTTCTGGCTTGAGAGGCGAGCCAATCCCCAGTCGGCATTTTGCTGCGTGGCATAGATGGTCACGATGGCGTCCTGCTCAATGTAGTCGACCTAGGCAAGCTATTGTCAGCACATTTCATGCATCAGCATGATAAGTCTTGTCGGCAGGAGACTCACGTTCGGGTCCCCACGGAGCTTCTCAAGCTCCTCATCGGTAAGCTTGGCAGCAAATCCGTTGAAGGCCTCGTAAGTGTAGTCGGCATCGGCAGCAATGGAGGAGATGGCAGAGGAGACGGCGGAAAATGCAGCCTTTTCCTTCATCTTAACGATGTACTTGCCTTCGACGAGCTGAGCGTCACGGGGAACAAGGACTGGGGCCGGGAAGGACCGCTTAGAGGGGGCGGCCATGGCCAAGGGGAGGATGGCGAGGAGAGTTGAGGCCTTCATGACTGTTGGTAATCGGGATACTCGGTAAAAGGGGGAGATGGTTTTGTCAACGAGTCTGCCGGATATGCTCGAACCACTGGTGGAAAAGAGATGTTGGGAATATAGGAAAGTGAGGAGGGAAAGAGAAGGAAGCTTGTTTTGGTATTGTTCTTTCGCTTCTTTCGCCATGGAAGGAAGGCATCCCAAGCTATTTATCTTTTCGAGCTCTGTGAAGGTAGACAGAGTCCAACATGTGCTTCCCACTCCACGACCTGGCCATGACAACTCTGGGAGCCAGGGCAAGGCTCGGACGCATTCATCCTTATTCCGGTATTGGAACAATGCCGTGATCATCAGTCATGTCGGAACACTTGGTTCTTCGAGTTTCATCGTCCACAGGGTCCCAGAAGTCTGTGGCCGCATCACCATGAACAGGGTCATCCGCGGACGTCTCGTGTACCTGGGCACGCGCTACGGAGGGGGGGCAGCCAGAACCCAACTAGGCTTCGATGCCGCGGGAGTGTTTGTATGGCCATATCGACAGCATCAGATGGTCTACGACACAAGAGTACAAGCCATGGCACACGCGGCAATCGTTACTCGTACCGTAGCTGCTTCACCGAGGGGCATGCTACAATGGCAATGCACCGGGGGGGTCATATAATCCTCGCCAACTGCTGCAACCCATCTCGTGTGAGTGGCGATGTTTGAGCTCAATGTCCTCCTCAAAAGAGACGAATAAGCGCAGATCTGCTTTTCGCGAGCGTCTACCGGCAAGCGCAGCGTCATGCTTGATGCGGTCTCCCGGGCACCACGCCCCTTTGAGATTTCGTCTATTATTTCTACGGGGTTACCTAGCAGTGAGATCTCGCTTTGCTTTGTTATCCATCTTGTCACCTACCTATTGCAGCTTAGACCGGGGAACTTCTGGAGAAGAAACTATCCACAATCCCCTTTCAAAAGGCGAAACACGGCCCCGCAAGGATCAAGTGATTAATAAATTGCCAAAAAAAAACCCGAACATTTGAACACGGCGACCCACACACCCACACACACAGCCCAACAGCCCTTCCAACCAGACCCCGTTGGGTAATAAGCTATTGACCAGACCTGTCAATCGATGTACTCCGTACTCCGTAACTAGACGACCAAAGACTGTTGACAACATGAGTGTTGGTGCGGCGCTGGGCAAACCATCGGCTCACTGTTCAACCTCCTTGTTGGTTTATTCACGGACACGTTCGGTCGCTCTCCTGGCCACATGTCTGTAGACGCGACTCGGCGGATAATCCATGGTCAGCGTTGCGACATGAAGACGGAAGGACGCCTTGTCCATGACCAGTCCATCAATTACTCAACCTAGAAAGTCGTAGTGTCTCCTGGGCTTCCAAAGGTGCCCAACAAACTCCATCGAGGCGCATCGCTTCTTCGCCTGCAAGGGACAAGTTTCGCCATAAACGATGCGAGTCTGGTTCGGGTTAGCATCCGCCATCCCCATCCCCCCCTGGCCATGTCGACATGTTTGCAGTCTCCAGCTCATGGAGCCAGTCACCCAGTCTCATCTGTGGAAAAGTGAGCTTGCCGGCTCTTAGTTTCGGTCATGGATCCCGAAGCCAAGCATGGACGATTGACACACCTTGGCATAGGATCGCTGTTTCCATCTGACTTGGCGACGCAGTCTCCAGATTTTACTGGTTAACAGATTTGTGACGCCTTTCAGTCCTTCCATCTTCAGCCACCTGCGACAACATTCGCCGTAAGCCACAAGTCAAGGTATCCCCGGTGGCTAGTTACTTGGGGAACTAGGAGGAGACCGACCATGATGCTGCTGTACTAGTGGCGGAGCAAAGTCGATCTAGCTAATCGTCGTCTTTCAATCCATCCTGCAGGCCTTCCAATCAAAGTCGAACAGCACCTTGAAGACTCTATAAACATTGGTTGTGGACAAAGGGCGCACAGCCAATCCAGACTTGCATCGTCGGTAGCGCAAAGACGTCTTTGTGAAAAGGGGTGTTGCAATTCCAGGAGTCACGCAAAGGACAGGCCATTCCATCGTCCGTATTGGCCGTTGGCTGATATTATGGGTGCGTTTCGGCCGCATGGATCAAGAGATCTACGTCTTATACCAATGCGCCTAACTCTTGCTTCTCTCCGCCTTCCTTTCTCTTCCTTCTCTGCATTCCGCTCATGCCGGGGACTGCCTCTCGTATCGTCAAGCTTCTGCGGGTTAGCCGACTAAACAAGCTTCATTGGTTCCGGACACCACATGCATACAATGTACTCTTCCCTCCTTCATCACCACAGCATCGCCCAGCACACCAGACGTATTGTGAGGGAATAGACGAGGGACGTTTGCCACACCAGACCAACACCAACAGGGTCATCCTGGATACTCGGTTGTGGTGCCCAGATTTCATGCGTCCCCATATTGCTAAGAAGAAGGTTCGTCACCGGCTTGACAAAGCCTCATCGAGTTGCCTTTCCAATATGGAGATCTACAATGTCCAAAACAGAGTCTCCAATTTTCTTCCCCAAATTGTTCCTTTGGTGTATTTGTGCATTAAAGACCCAATGAAGTATCAGAGGTCCTTTCGTTAATACGGTTTCCCCCTCTGCGGCAGCTACTGTTTTCCTTTTTGGCATCTCAATCCATGTTTCGCGTTCATCTGAGGCAGCGGCAAGCCCTTTGGCGGTGTTGACGAGGACGGACAATCAACGCTACACACGGCTGCCCGCCCACGTTTGCTCAAGATCAACATTGCATACGACTCATCCTGCAAATCACAAAAGACTGTTAAATGCAACTCTGTCAGCCTCCTGAATGTGGCCTATTTCGCCCATCTCATAGCCTTCTGCGTGCCACTCCTTCCCAAATCCCTTCCGAATCTACGGCGTACTTTAGTCTTCTGCCCTGGACATCCACGTCTTGTCAACACTCGGTCATTTTGGGCACTTTTGTGCGTGGCCTAAGTGTCAAGAACGGATGGAATATTTGGGGCAGCATCTAGCGAGTCAGGGAAGCGGGGAGCTTTTTTCTATACAATCTGGAGTTTGCCATTCCGAGAGAATGCCTCGTGTGTGTTGAGGAACCACGGAGTGTTCAAGTCACCTTGTCCGTTCTCTGCTCTGTGGCTCTACAATACGAGTCGTAAGTTTTGAGGAATTTGGCGCGTTTTTCTTCCCTTACTCTTGCAAGCGAATCATCACCTCCTGGATTTTGCTTTCCACGTGCAAATTCTCGATGAGCAAGTTTGTTGTTCCCTACTATGCGCACCTTATCACTAGCACTACATACATTGATTCCAAACCCCATTGTTTCAGACGGATAGGCCCGGCTTCGACACTCTGATGACAAAGACATTCATCATCCGTTGACGCGCCATTCCAAATCAGCCGGTAGCTCCAAGCACGTGTTGAGAGCTGCTTTCCAACACTGCTCTCCATCGTGTTTCAGCCTAGTCCCAACAATCTTTTGTCGGCATTATGGGATTCCATATATCATGTATTTTTTAATCCAGAGCCTAGAGCAACATGCCTGGTCCACGAGTGAAACTTAATCTCGATCATACAGATAGATCAAGCATCCGATGTCCCCATAAATAACGCGGCATAAACATCTCAGCCTTTCAAAAACAAGTCAAGAACTAAAGTAGACTCATCCGGCCGTGCTACACGGGATCATTAGCCTTGTTGCAATCCACAAATGTCTCGCAGCTTGCGAAAGGCCGTGGGGCAGCGCCGCCCTGACACAGGTTAAGCTCTTGGCTTCTTCGTAAAATCGGGCCAAAGGCACCTTCTAGACTGACTTGAAGCGGGGAAAAAAAGACGGATTGGCGCGGCCAGTGACGCACATGGTTGAAGGAGTCCCTATGAGGTCGTGAATAATAAGTTGTCGCGCAGCCGGTTCAGCTCCGGCAACGGTGATACTGCATTGACTGCCAACAGTCTGGCCTGCGTCAATGAAACTTATTGAGATGCTGTCGGGCCTCTTAATTTCTAATCGCCATAATCACACGCGACGCTCACCAGGTCGCAGTATTGCTATGCATCAAATCTTCTTCGGGCGATCTCACACTACTCTCAAAATAGCTGCTTAGGGGACGTCTATCCCATGAATTATACTGATTGGTAGCCTCTTATGGACATGAAGTGTGTTAAACTATGTCTAGTAATATAATTCATTTCCAAACAATCTTCTTTATCGCTTAGACTTATTCTACTTTGTTCGTAGTTGGCATTGTTAGAGCCTACCCTAAACCAAACCCCTGGCACAGTTTCGCACTGCGGAGGCTCAAGCACCAAGCAGGACGAGGTGAAAATAGAGTTGCATATAGCATCTACCTTGTTTGCTCTAGGCATAGGCCCTATTTGTACTTTTCATGACTAAGGACTGCAGATGGTGTGGCGGTGATGGACTTGTGAAGGGTCTGGTGCGTTGCGCCACTAGCAGATGGAGAACAAGGTCGAGACCGCACTCGGCATCCGTCAACTCTATCTGACATTATCAATCGCGCCTTCCGTTCTAACGGGCCAGTCTGTGCTTGCCTCTTTCAATCAGTTGACAGCAGTGTTGAGCCAAAAAAAAAAAAAAAAAAAACAATGATGAAAAAGAAATCCAAAGCCCTT